TGAGGCGCCGTCACGCGCGGCGACGAGGTCTGCGTCGACGCCCTTGAAAGCTCAGAGGGTCAGCCTCGCGCGGGTGACCCGCACTCACTGCGGCGCGTCGGTCTCACTCCGCGTCCACTCCCACGTTCCTGCCAACCTGCAGCGAGTCAAGGATGTCGCGCGCTCATCGGCGCGGGCGCCGTTGGAAGAAGTCACGATCCACCCATGCTCGCACCGCGGCTGCGACCGCTGCGGCGCGCTGGTACTTCTTCGGGAGCGCGTAGGTCGGCATCACGTTATACCACCGCCTTCCTGGTTCCTGCCACGAAGACCCCGAGGCGCGCGCACTGTCCGTCACGGGCCAGATGATCTAAGATTACCCCAGTGCGACCCTACCTAGAAGTTGGAGCCCCTAGGAAAGCTGCATTAATTGCTATGCTATGCTATGCTATGCTATGTTATGTTATGTTATGCCATACCATGCTATGCTGCGCTATGCGATGCGATGCTATGCCATGATATGATCTGACGCGCTATGGTATGATATGATACGCTACGGTATGCTATGATATGATATGCTGGGATAGGCTATGCTATGGTATGCTGCGCTGTGATTTGCCGAGCAATGCTATGCTATGATATGATATGATATGCTAAGCTGCACTTTGCTATGTTATGTTATCGTATGATATGCTATGGTATGCTATGACAGGCTATGATAATGCAGCGCTGCGCTATGCTAAGCTAAGCTAATCTAAGCTAACCCTCTAGGCAGAGCCTAGGTAGGGAAGTACACCCATGCTACGCTACGTTATGCTATGCTGCGCTATGCCATGCTACGCTATGATATGCTATGATGTGCTCTGCTACGCTAAAATTCAGCGGAGCTGAGATGAGGGTAAGCTAAGCTAAGCTAAACCTCAGTTAGGATGAAGCTAAGCTGAGCTAAAACGAAACAAGCTAAGCTAAGATGAGATAAGCAACGCTAAGCTAAGGGGACGCAACTGGGGGGACCGCGGGGCGGATGCTGGGGGAACCGCCCGGGGCGAGTTGCACTGCCCGGTAAGCATAACGAGTGAGATCCCTTCTAGGCAGAGCCTAGGTACGGAAAAAGATTGCGAATTACGAATATCGTCCGGGGCCAGCATTGCCACGCGGGCAATTCCATCCTCACCACAGCGCCCACTGCGAAGCAGCGGCGATGCTGGCCGACCTTCGTGGAAATAACGCGCGGCAGTGGATGCAAGGGAGATGGTTGGGATTCGGTCTTCAGTGAGTCATCGACTGCAACCGACCCTGTCGACAGCGCATCCTGCGCGACCGCCCGCTTATCGCGCGCCAGGTAGGCCTGCCACGCGGCGCCGATTAAGCGTCGATCGCAGGAGGAGTCCCCGCGGGGCACCTCATCGACAGTAGACATCCGCCCATCGCCATGATTTGAATCGCCAGGGCGCGCGCCAGCCTCCGAAGGGTCGGCGCTGCCCCCCCTGACGTCTGCCACCCGGAATACATGTTGCACGAGAACTCCGAAGCAGCGCCCAGCTACCGCGCCGAGTGTGCAGGGAGCTCGGCGAGGCCCACTCCCCCAGCCTCGGAGCCCCGCCAGGTCTCTACCTCGCGGCGGCCCGCCCCCACCAAACCAAGGGCAATTCATCTCGACGTTCCTCGGCCACGGCGCCGCCCTGGCCGCGGCCCACCTGGGCGGCCGCCGCACAGCGCAGGTTGACAGCCGTTCGTCTTCGAGGCGCGGCTGACGACGCGCGAGATGACCAACGCCTCCACAATCCCTTGCAGGGCAATCTCTCTCAGCCCGCGCGAGTCGCGCGCCACTCTGGCCGCGTCGCCCAGGAGCCCCAACATGTCTGGCACCATCCGCGGCCGTCGCCCGAAACGGGCGTTGCATGGCGTGGGCCCACCGTGGGATACCAGCAAGTTGCCGGTAAATACAACCACGGGGAGGTCGGGCACGCTGACTCGCAATCCTTCACGCCGCAGTTTCGTCAATACAGTGCATGGCGCGCCGTGGGATGGCACCGCGTCGTTCTGGGGCTTGGACTCGGACCGCAACGCCGCGTCGATCGACAAATGGACTAGCTCCGACCCCAAGTAAGCCGCGCTCGCCATCAACATCCAGGGTCTTGGATGGCCAACAGATCGAGATCCAGCATGATAGCATGGCAGAGAATAGGCGCCCAGAAGAAGGACGCCCAGCGTCGCGGGAACCCCCCTCGAGAAGCCGCGCGGCACACAACTGGTCGACACGGTCAATCATGTGCCAGATCGGATACTGGCGGCTCAAAAAGACACACCCTTTCTACTTCCTGAGCGGAAGCCGCGACCAGCTCGACCGAGGGGGCGATATGCGACGCGTTGCTTGCCCAGACGCGGCGCTCGCGGCAGGCATCTATCACGCCGGCGACCACCTCGACGACGCTATCTAGGCACCAGGCTGCAATACATCTACTCTCCACTCTGGTCCGTGTAGCGCGCCACCAACGTATACGCAGCTTGCGCATCTCACGTCGCATACGCGATGCATCGCCCGTTCGCAGCACACGCAGACTCTGCGCGACGTCGAACCTCATCCCTTCCTCTGGTACGTGACCCGTTGCAGCGTCCACGGCTCGAGATCGTGGTCGAGGAGCGCTGGCGGTTCTGGGCGCGGCGGGGTCAGGCGGCGAAGGTGGCTCGCCGTCGTCGAGGAGGTCGTCGCGCATAGGTCCCGGTGGTGCAGGAGCGTCGATGGGGCAGCCCTGCATGGCTCGTCGAACCAGCGGCACTCTCCAGGCCGCCTGGCGTTGCCAGGGCGCGCTCTGTCTCGTGGCGGATCGCGCGCACACCCTGGGCATGAGCACGGTGACTCAAAGCCTGGCGGGCTTGCGCATTTCCTGGCATCTTGATGCGACGTGGGCCCATGGTGCTGCGATTCCCGCGGCAGCCCGGACATTCTGGGCATCGTTTTAGATTTGGTGTTCTGGCTGCCTGATTGGCAGTTAGTGTGACGGTGGATGTCTGCGCGCCCGAAGCTCGCGATTTTCTTGCCGGGCTCGCGACTTTCCTGTCGGTGTTGGCAGGACTGCTGGTGCTGGTGCTGGCGGTGCCTCGGCTTCTTCCAGGCGATCAAGCTTCTGGAGAACCTATGGGCTGATGCTGGCTCCTGTGACTGGGGAGAGCTCGGTCACCAGGGCGACTGAGCTTTCCACCGCGGCTTTGACTGTGACAATGCCTTGCGCCACGCGCTCAGCTAAGCGCAAGGGCCAGACCTGTAGTGTCTTTGTGAGATGGTTGCGTGCCCAGTTGACGTCGTGGTCGCGGTTTCCGTTGCACTGTAGAATTTGCGATTGCCAATGGCGGCTTGTTGGCTGGGAGACCTCGTGGACCTTTGGTTCCCAGACAGCGATGGTCGAGCACAACCGGCTCCACGGGAGGATGTGCAGATACCTGTTCCCACGGCCGTACCGTACTGCGCCAAGTAGGTCTCAGTACTTCGACAAAGAGGTATCGTCCCTCGCGTATCTGTGTCATCGCAACCTGTCCGCAGAAGGTGCGTGGCGCATTTTCCTCGCAGTGGGTCCGCCAAGTCTCGTAGTTGACACGATAACTGAGACCACTAGGCGGGCTGGTGGTGCGGCATGACGGTGCCATGGCCATTACCAGTACGCTGTTAGAGCTGAGGCATTGTAGGAACTACTGCTGGACGGTGGGATCGCCCAAGTCACAACCAGCAGCCAAGTCGAACTTGTCGCCAGTTTCGAGTTGTCGTCGGATGGCGATCTGCGAGGGGCTCTTCACCGCCGCACAGCTCATATGGTTCCCGGCCCAGACCCACTGCTCGGACCGTCGCCAAGGCCTATTCTAAGTTCGTGGCAACGTAATCGGATGCTGGAAACGCTGCACGGTGGCCAACAGTGGCCCCTGCTGCGTACGATTCCGCCAGGTGCTCACCAAAAGGGGGCTATCTGGCGCGTTCGATGGCAATGTCCTGGAACAGCCGGGCGAGCTGCTCGTCCGTACCAAGCCCAGAGAGGTCGTCACCAGTGTCTTCAAAAACGTATTCCACTTTCTTCTGACGCTTGACCGGCTCAAGTCCTTGTTTCATGTGTGCATTCGCCCGTTCTGCCTCGTCGGGAAATGCAAACGACGGAGGAGGAGGAGGAGGAGGAAGAAGAGGAGAAGGAGGAGGCACCTGCCCCAGAGCTCCTGGAGGAGAAGGAGAAGAAAAGAAGCAATCCTCCCAATTCGTTCGTCCCTGATGCATATCAGGCAATTCCACATGCTGAAGTATCCGCGTCACCAGCATCAGCATCATCATCAACAACAGCATCATAGTCCCCCTCCTCCTCTTCCTATTCCTCCTCCTCCTTCTCCCCCTCCTCCTCAGCATCATTATCATAGTCATAATCGACATCATCATCATCATCATCATCATCATCATCATCATCATCATCATCAGCAGCATCAGCATCAGTATCAGCATTATCAGAATCATCATCGTCGCCATTACCATCATCATCATCATCAGCATCATCACCATCATCATCGACATCATTAGCATCATTAGCATCAGCAGCATCATCATAAGGTCGTCAGCATCATCATCATCATCATCATCAGCATCATCATCATCATCATCAGCAGCATCATCATCAACATCATCATATTCGTCGACGTGATACACAGTCTCTCCATCATCGTCGCCACCAGAATCAGAATCGTCCTCAGCAGTACCAGCATATCTCGTCACAATCGCAGTCAACCTCTACAATAGTCATTTACATCCGATGTACACAATTATGGCATCACCACTACCAGCATCATCATCATCATCATCATCATCATCATCAGCATCAGCATCAGCATCAGCATCAGCATCATCATCATCATCATCATCATCATCATCATCATCATCATCATCATCATCATCATCACCACAGCCACCACCACCACGACCATCAACATCCCCATCAACACATATCACCGGCAGAGGCGGAGGCGGCGGAGCCAGAAAATCCGGCGGCCGCCTCGAGGTCTTCGTCGGCGGAACCCATGCCCATGTCCCTCGCGAGGCAGTCGTGCGCCTCCCTGAGGTCCGAGCTGACATCCTGCAGGAGGACGCCAACTTCAGGTCGGGCATGTCCCCCTACAGGAAGACTTTGGAGGAAAATCTAAAATAGTCCCCAAAAAAATAACCAAAGAATAATAAAAAAAAAAAAACGTCCCCAGCCTATTTTTCACTATTTTTGAATATTCCTCCTGTAGAGAGGGACAGGCCTGACCTAACGCCAACTGCTCACCTGCACCGATCGTGCCCAGGCGTTTCGCGGGCGCCAGAAGGGGAGCGTGCACAGTCATCAGATTACAGCCACGAGCGCTGACCAAGGACCGCGCGTCGAGCCTCGGCCACGAGATAGGTTCCCCGACCTGGAGCTGAGGAGCAACCAGGCCAGAGGGATCCCCTCCTCTTCCACCTCCTCGTCGATTTCCGCAAGTACTCCATATCAATGCTACTCCTCCTCTCCCCCTAGATCCGTTGAGAGCGGGGCGCCTTTTCTCACGCATGCTACTGCATACACACGGGACTCCAATGTGTGATCGTTTTCTTATTCGGCGTTTCGACATTGGGCGGAAGGGGGGGGGAGGGGGGGGGTCTGGCTCCAGACCTCTGCTTACTGCGACTGTTTGCAGCAATGCGTCCTATGGGGGAGGGACTCCACCTGCTCGAGACGGGCGCCAAAAACAGCCAAAAGCGACTCCATGGAGGGGGGAGGGGTAGGTTCGAGGGCCCGCGCCGATGGGCAAAACAATGAATACGAAAACGATCACCGCTCCGAGAACCAGAGCCTCTCCTGAGCCCAGATGTCCACTTGGGCTGAGCACACCGGTGCCACGAGCTGTGCCAGCACCGCACCGGCGGCGAGGCGCTCATATGAGCACACCCTCCCTCCCGACCGAGGAGACCGACATCCTGGGCCCTCGATTGGCATCATAGCCAGGGCAGGTGCACCAGGAAGCTGCAGCCCACATGGCCGGATTCGCATGTGGGCCATCCAGAGGCCGCGCGCTGGAGGCACACGTGCGGAGGCCCGACCTACACGGCCAACACAGGGGCCGCACGCGCTGGAAAGACGTCGCGCAACAGCTGTGTATCCAGCTTTCGCCCAGGCCAGCCGCGTCCCGTGCACCCAGCGTCCTGGTAGGTGGAAGAGGAACAACGCCACAGGAGGAGAAGGAGGAGGAGGAGGAAGAGGAGGAAGAGGAGGAGGAGGAGAAAGAGGAGGAAGAAACATGTGGAGGAGGAGGAGAAAGAGGAAGAAGAGGAGGTCAAGAAGGAGGAGGAGGCAGCTTCCTGGTAGGTGGATGATTGGTTTCCCCTCGTCCTGGATGCTGTCGCCCAGATTCTCCAGCTGAGCTACGGGACCCAGTCTCTCCCTGCAGTTGCGGAGCTGCTCGCTGCCCCGCTTCAGCGCCTGGGCGGCGAGCACCGACACCTCGGCCTGCTCGACCTGGAAGTCCGTGTTCTGGACATTGTAGCTCATGCCCAGAAGCCTGTCCCGATACTGCTCGTACTGGCGCTTCTGCTTCAGGATCCTGACGGCCCGCGCCTTCGCGGAAGGGTCGACGTGCGCGCGCCTGGCCCAGGCCTTCGCATCCCTCTCCGCCTTGAGGATCCAGCACTCCAGGTCTCGAATGCGCACGCCGATCTCCTTGTTCGCATGGCTCAGATCCGCCGCCGGCTCCTGGCTCCCGCACGAGGCCCCCATCGCGGCCCCAGGCTGCCGCCGCGCCCGAAAAAGCCAAGACGGCCTCGGGGGATCCAGGGGCGAGTAGCGACCAGGCCAGAAGTCCACGCTGACGTTAGGTCGGGCATGTCCCCCTACAGGCGGATTTGGGGCGGAAAATTCCATATATACATATATATATGTACTTATATGTGTATATAGAGAGGAAAAAATATAAGCAATACCAACAACAACAACAACAACAACAACAACAACAACCACAACAACAACAACAACAACAACAACAACAACAACAACAACAACAACAACAACAACCACAACAACAACAACAACAACAACAACAACCACAGCAACAGCAACAGCAACAGCAACAGCAACAACAACAACAACAACAAGAAGAAGAAATGACTATATTCTACTATCTTTGGACGAAGGGACATGCCCGACTTCACGCCGACCATCTCCGCCGACCCGCTCCCATCTGCGAGCATCGCGGGCGTGCCGCGCGTGCCTCCCAGAATGAGAAGGTGGCAGCTGCGGGCGGCTGGCTTGGCCTGCAGAGCATCGCACCCTCGCAGCATCAGATGATCCTCCTGTCGCCGTCCGCTGTTTTCTCCCAGCCTCCCTCCCGAAGGCACGACGCGAGCACAGGAGCACATGCTTCCCCAGTGCCTGCATGTGAAGCCTGCTTGGGGTCAAAACCTCGTCCTGGAACTCGGCCCTGGAGACACCACCCATCGTCGCAGATGCTGCGAACCCTCCAGCCTGCCCGACGGGCCCCAGCGAGCCGACGAGTTCTCTCTCTCTCTCTCTCTCTCTCTCTCTCCCTATACGGAGGAAGGGGGGGAGGGGAGAGGGGGAAAGCTAAGCAGGGTCGGGAGGGAAAGGGCGGGCGGGATAACGACCTGCTTAGTGCCGTTGCCCATGGGTGAGGATCGCCAAAACTTCTCGAGGTGCCCTCCCTGGACCTACCAGGCAGCGGCGCCACGGGGAACCTCCCCTTCCATCTACCCTAGCCCTGCCAGGACTTGGCATGCAGGGGCGTAGCGGAAGGTAGCGGGGAGGGAAGGGAGAGGATCAACAGAGAGAGAAGGGAGGGCAACACACACATACACACAAACAAACACACACACACACACACACACACACACACGCACACACAGCACACAGCACACAACACACAACACACACACAACACACAACACACAACAACAACAACAACAACAACAACAACAACAACAACAACAACAACAACAACAACAACAACAACAACAACAACAACAACAACAACAACAACAACAACAACAACAACCACACACACAACAACAACAACAACAACAACAACAACAACAACAACAACAACAACAACAACAACAACAACAGCAACAACAACAACAAAAACAGCAACAACAACAACAACAACAACAACAACAACAACAACCACAACCACAACCACAACCACCACCACCACCATCACCACAACAACAACAACTCCAACAACAACAACAACAATCATGTTAAGACTGTTCCCTCTTATCTGCTCGAGTCTCCGTTGACGCGTATGTCCCAGACCCTCGATACCCGCCCTCTTCGTCTTCGATCGTACCCCTTTTGGGGGGTATACCTTTCTTCCCTGCAGGCCGGGCCCCGGCAAGCGGCGGGGCGGCCGCGGACCGTCGGCCTGGCCAGCGGCAGCGCTGATCGGCGGCAGTCCGACCCCAAGAGGGACGGACAGGGGACCGACCACGACGACGACGACGACGACGACGACGACGAAGACGACGACGACGGCGACGACGACGACGACGACGACGACGACGAGCGAAAGCGAGAGCGAGAGAGAGAACGATAGCAGGGCCACGAAGGGCACGAAGTAGGCCACGAAGGGCGACAGCGGGGACACGAAGGGAATGCGTATGGGTTCACGAAGAGCGCAAACAAGCGGGGGCCACGAAGGGCAGATAATGCGGGGCCACAGAAAGCAACTGTGGGGCCACTGAGGGTAGCAACTGGGCCACGTACGACAGCAAGGGGGACACAAATGGCGACAGCGGGGCCACGAAGGGCATGCACATGGGGCCACGACGGGCGCGAACGAGCGGGAGCCACGAAGGGCATACGTATATTGGGCCGCGGAGGGCAAGGACGAGGCCACTGAGGGCAGAAACGGGGCCACGAAGGGCAGCGAGTGGGCCACGAAGGGCGACAGCGGGGCCACGAAGGGCATGCATTTGGGACCACGACGGGCGCGAACAAGCGGGGGCCAGAAAGGGCATACATATATGTGGCCACGAAGGGCACCGAGGGGGCCACGAAGGGCTGCAACGGGGCCACGAAGGGCAGCGAGGGGGCCACGAAGGGCTGCAAAGGAGCCACGAAAGGCAGCGAGGGGGCCACGAAGGGCTTCAACGGGTCCACGAAGGGCAGCGACGGGGCCACGAAGGGCAGCGAGATCCCGATTCCTACGTAATCTGCGAGGGAGTCCTAAGCATGAGCGCGACTCCTGGGTGCCTGAGTGTCTGGAGCGCGGCGCTTGAGTAGATTGCGGGACTTTCCAACGCAAGGGCGCGCTATTTTTGAGTAAATTGTAAGCAAGTCTCCAGCGAGAGCGCGACTCCAGAGCACCGAGAGAACGATTCCTGAATAGATTGTAAGAAGTCCGAAACGAGAGCGCGATTTCTGAATAAAACGCGAGGAAGTCTCAGGCGGGAGCGGGGTCCTGGCTAAATTGTGAGGAAGTCTCCAGCGGGAGCCGTTGTTGTTGTTGTCGTTGTAACCCGGGGGCCAGGGGCACAGTTTGAGCCTCAAGACTTTCCCTGGTAAAGAATAGGGTGCAAGCGCCGGGAGGGGCACTTCAATTGAAAAAACTACAACAATGTGCACCGGAGCGGGGAATCAACCATAATTATTCAGTGATGGAGTTTTCAACAACAACAACAACAACAACAACAACAATCATTTTACCCGAACGCTCAGTGTTCTCCCCAGTGCCAGGGTTTTCTTGCGACACCAGCCAATACCCCCACTTCGTGGGGGGGCCGTTCAAGCTCTACCAAATATCCAAACGACTCTTCGAGACCACCCACACCCAGCTTCCCGCCCTATGACGTTGGGACACTTCACTTCGTGGCGTGCGGACGACCCTGGCTACTACACTGGCGTGGGGTACACACCCACAGAGGTTGATCACATCTGTTACATATGATGTGGTACACGGTACACGTGAGATGGTACGCAGTGCCAAGATAGTTGGTCACATTTTTGGGGCAAATTCGTGGGGATGCGATTACAGAAGTACATGTGTTACACTGATGTTATACAGTCCCAAGGATGACGCATGCATTGCTCATAGACTCATGGCGCTATGATCCTAACTCTCAGTGCCCAACGCGCGCGTGCACAGCCAGACGGAGGGAGAGAAACACATGTATACAAGGTTCGTGACATACGCACGGTCCACCATGTTGTAAACGATCGCATGCACGGTAAGTTCTGAAATTATACGTATGTACAAGCAGACATGCGAGGGAGAAAGGGAGATGGCCATCGACAGTTCCAGTACGGCTCCAAGGCGGAAGAGGGGGAGGAGGAGCAGGACAAGGAGGAAAGGAGAGAAGCGAGAAAGGAAGAACGCAGACGGCGCGGCTCTGGACACACGGCCGCGCGCATGTGCACTTCGTCTCATTTTTTGCAAGGGATGGTGGCCCTCGCAGGCGCGCAACCGTTGTTGGAGAAGTTCAAAGCACCTGAAGAAGTAGCACGCAAAGACCCTTTTGACAGAAATGTTTAAAAAGTGGTGTGTTTCCTATGAATCCGCAAGAGCGCGCGGAAGGACATTTTGACAATTTTTTCTTAAAAAACCATTGGGTTTTTGATGTTTTTATGTTAAAATCGCTACGAAACCTAAGGTTTTGGAAGGATTTCGTCTTGCGAGCGCGAATGTCCACTTTACCTTATTTTTTGCAAGGGATTCTTGAAATTTGATCAACTAAGAACAAGAATTTTCATTTTCTATTGTTTTTTGCAAGGGAAAACGAGCGTCAACAAAAAACCGGATCCGGGGGTAATCCACTTTTCTGAAGCTTTCGCAGAAAAATGATGAAAATGTAGCTGCGGCCTAGGTTTTGGGCGGGGGGCGTGCACCAGGGGGTCCAACAATAATAATTCTTTAGAAGTAATAGTGTTCAACAACAACAACAACAACAACAACAACAACAACAACAACAACAACAACAATTACTAGCACGTGGGGACACTCCGTTCTCACCAGTGCCAGGGTTTTCATAGGAGGCGGGCAATACCCCCACTTTGTGGGGGGGCCGGTTCAAGCTCTACCAAATTTCCAAACGACTCTTCGCCACCACCCACACCCAGCTTCCCGCCCTATGACGTTCGGACACTTCACTTCGTGGCATGCGGACGACCGTGGCTACTATTCAGGGCCCCGCGGCCGACGACGACGGCGTGCGCGCGCGAAGAAAAAACGAATGTGTCCCGCATGGTATTATTTGACAGGGATGATGGCCCTGGCAGGTGCGCAACCGTTGTTGCAGAAGTTCGAAAAAGTTGCTCGCAAAAGCCCGTTTGACAGAAATGTTTAAAAAGTGTTGGGTTTCCTACGAATCCGCAAGAGCGCGCGGGATGAAATTTTGACATTTTTTGTTGAAAAACCATTGGTTTTTTGATGTTTTTATGTTAAAATCGCTACGAAAACTAAGGTTTTGGAAGGATTTCGTCTTGCGCGCGCGAATGTCCACTTTACCTTATTTTTTGCAAGGGATTCTTGAAGTTTGGTTATGTTAGAACAAGAAATGTCCACTTTAGCTTATTTTTTGCAAGGGAAAGCGGGGGGAACAAAACAACCGGATCTGGATCACATCGTTTTGTCAAGGGCTTTCGCTCGAAAATGATGAAAATGAGGCTGCGGCCTAGGCGCGGCGGGGGGGTCGTGCACCAGGGGTCCCAACAATAATTATTCTTTAGAAGTAATAATGTTCAACAACAACAACAACAACAACAACAACAACAACAACAACAACAACAACAACAACAACAATTACTAGCAC